TGTAAAGGGTTACATTGATGCAAGCTTTAACACTGATCCAGATGACTCAGAGTCTCAATCTGGATACATATTGAAAGTGGGAGCAATTAGCTAGAGTAGCTCCATGCAGAGTATTCTAGACATAGAAATTTGCAAAATACATACGGATCTGAATGTGACAGACCTGTTGACTAAACCTCTCTCACAAGTAAAACATGATCACACCTTAGTACTCTTTGGGTGTTAATCACATATCGATGTGAACTAGATTGTTGACTCTAGTGCAAGTGGGAGACTGAAGGAAATATGCCCTAGAGACAATAATAAAGTTGTTATTTTATATCTACTTATATCATGATAAATATTTAGTATTCATGCTATAATTGTATTAACCGGAAACTTGATACATGTGTGGATACATAGACAAAACACCATGTCCCTAGTAAGCCTCTACTAGACTAACTCGTTAATCAAAGATGGTTAAGTTTCCTAATCATAGACATGTGTTGTCATTTGATGAACGGGTCACATCATTAGGAGAATGATGTGATGGACAAGGCCCATCCGTTAGCTTAGCATTATGATCGTTCAGTTTTATTACTATTGCTTTCTTCATGTCATATACATATTCCTTTGACTACGAGATTATGCAACTCCTGGATACCGGAGGAATACCTTGTGTGCTATCAAACATCACAACGTAACTGGGTGATTATAAAGATGCTCTACAGGTATCTACGAAGGTGTTTGTTGGGTTGGCATAGATCGATATTAGGATTTATCATTCCGAGTATCGGAGAGGTATCTCTGGGCCCTCTCGGTAATGCACATCATAATAAGCCTTGCAAGCAATGTGACTAATGGTTAGTTGCGGGATGATGCATTATGGAACAAGTAAAGAGACTTGCCGGTAACGAGATTGAACTAGGTATGAAGATACTGACGATCGAATCTCGGGCAAGTAACATATCGATGACAAAGGGAATAACGTATGTTGTCATTACAGTACGACCGATAAAGATCTTCGTAGAATATGTGGGAATCAATATGAGCATCCAGGTTCCGCTATTGGTTATTGACCGGAGATGTGTCTCGGTCATGTCTACAAAGTTCTCGAACCCGTAGGGTCCGCACGCTTAACGTTCGATGACGATTCTGTATTATGTGAGTTATGTGATTTGGTGACCGAATATTGTTCGAAGTCCCAGATGAGATCACGGACATGACGAGGAATCTCTAAATGGTCGAGAGATAAAGATTGATATATAGTACGATGGTATTTGGACACCGAAAGTGTTTCGGGGTACCGGATACATATCAGGTCACCGGAAGGGGTTCCGGACATCTCCCGGCAACTACATGGGCCTAATGGGCCAAGAAGGGGACAGACCAGCCCCTAAGGGCCTGGTGCGTCCCGTGTAGGCCGAAATAAGGGGGGAAGGAAAGAAGGGAAGAGAGAAAGGAAAGGGAGGTATTCGGCCTCGCCCTTCCTTCTTTCCTCCCTCCTTCCTTTCCCCTCTGGATGAATATGGAAGGAGGGAGGCCGAATTGGGAGGCGCCCAAGTAGGATTCCTCCTACTTGGGGTGCCCCCTTGGCTGCCTCTCCTCCCCTCCAACCTATATATATGAGGGGGGAGGGGCACCGCTAGAACACACAACAACAATTGTTAGCCGTGTGTGGCGTCCCCTCCACAGTTTATGCCTCCGGTCATATTCACGTAGTGCTTAGGCGAAGCCCTGCGCGGATCACTTCACCATCACCGTCACCACGCCGTCGTGCTGACGAGACTCTCCCTCGACATTTGGCTGGATCAAGAGTTCGATGGGCGTCATCGAGCTGAACGTGTGCAGAATTCGGAAATGTCGTACGTTCGGTGCTTGATCGGTCGGAACGAGAAGAAGTTTGACTACATCAACCACGTTGTCAAACGCTTCCGCTTTCGGTCTATGAGGGTACATGGACACACTCTCTCCCTCTCATTGCTATGCATCTCCTATATAAATCTTGTGTGAGCGTAGGAATTTTTTAAAATTGCATGCTACGTTTCCCAACAAAGGGGGAGTTGTTTCGCTTGTTCCAGAAGCTTCTAGGTGGGTTTGCTTTACCTTTTTTGTTCATCTTATCACCCGTTTTCTTTGTTAGTTTTCGTTTTTATTTTTCTTATTTTCCTTTTTTTATTTTTTTTTCTCCTTTCTTTTTCTTTTTCTAAAATGCATGAACGTTTTTGGAATTCATTTTGTGTTGTAAATTTGTGAAGTTTTTTCTCAATTTCCATGAGCTTTTTTTTAAGTTTGCATATTTTAAAAAAATCATGAACTTTTTTTTCCCAAATTGATAAACTTTTTTCAGTTTCATGATTTTTGAAAATCCAAGAAGTTTTTTTTCAAAATGGATGAACTTTTTCTGAATGCATGATTTGTTTTTTCAAAATCGATGATACATTTTTGAAAATCTGCATTTTTTTTCCTATTTCATGATTCTTTATTCAAAATCAAAGTTTTTTTAAAAAATTGCATAACTGTTTCACTCATCGAAGATTTGATAGCTTAACGATAGGATTGGATGGACGGCTCGCGTATATAAGATAACGAGAAAGCTATATTCCTGCCGTCCGAATTTTTGCAACAGATCCGGACGATGTCGGAGCCGTTGGATCGTGATCGCCTGGCTATTATTTTAGGTAGCGATTTGCGCGGCGGGGCAGCTGGGCGTTGACCACGTTTTACTGGAAGGTTGCCGTTTCACGTTTTGTGGGAGGTCGCCAGTCGCCGCGATTTTAGGAGGGGCTTTTAGTGGGAGGTTGCCGTGATTTTTGGGCGTTACCCATTTTTACATGATACAAAGAGCCACTAGCCACTTCGCTAGCACAACCTTTGACGCTTTTTTGAAATAGTTTTCTAATTTGTACGCTATACAGACAACAAATTTCCTTTGCCATTCAGAATTGATCCTGGTTGCTAATAAACAGAGCGAAGGGTCCACCTTATCGAGACTTTGTACCTACACAAATGTTGATCCAAACAAATTGTTGAAACATACCCGCGGTAATTTTGATGTAAATCACATGGTAATTTACTTGACGTAGTCACAAATTACATGCAAGCACTGAGGTTACTTTCACTCGGGAGATTTTTTTATTGAACATTCGTTTTTTTAATATTTTCTAAGCAGGCGATGATGAGGATTCGTAAGAAATCTTAGATCAAGAAAAACAATGTTCAATCAATTCTGAAAACATGCTTCAGTGTGTACTTGATTTGGGAGGAGTTGAGTAGATTAGGAATGTCCAACGCCCATCCTCTTCTGCATCAATTTTGAAGAGTGGCAAGATCCACCATCTCACAACATAGTTACTATGCGCTATAGTTACCAACATGGTTATTTTGTAGTTATCGGGCTAGATGTACTATAGTTATCAACATGGTTATTTTATAGTTATCGGGCAAGATCTACTATAGTTATCGGGCAATATCTATTATAGTTATCAACATGCTTACTATGTAGTTATCGGGCTAGATGTACTATAGTTATCAACATGGTTAATTTTTGTAGGTATCAGGCTACATATGGTATAATACACCCCCGGTAGCTTATGCGTAAATAGCATGATATTTTACACACCACAGATATGATAACTCATGCGCAAACATCGTGATAACTTTGACAGGGAGAAAAAGTTGAAGACATCACCCGATAGCTTCTACGTAATTAGCATGATAGTTTACACAACATAAATCTGATAACTCATGCGTAAATACCGTGATAACTTTGACCCGGGGGAGGAGGTGTTTAAAAACATCACCGACAACTTTCGTCAAATAGCATGGTACAGTATGCACCGTATACATGATAACTTATGCATAAATACCACGGTAACTTACGGTCCGGGGTGTTGGGAGGGGATGAAGTTGTTTGAAAACATAACCCCTCCTGATAACTTCCATATAAATACCATGATAATATACGCACCGTAAACTTGATAAATCATGTGCAAACACCCGTGATAACTTCGATGGCGGGGGAAGGCAATTGTTTGAAAACATAACCTTGATAACTTATGCGTAAATAACATGGTAATATACGGACCGCGGGCATGGTAACTCACGCACAAACACCGTGTTGTCCAAAAAATAGTTGTTCAAAATGTACCACGGTTACTCATGTGTAAATAGCATGATAATAGACACACATCAGATCTGATAACTTACTTAGCCCGGGCCTGATAACTATTTGCATGAAAAAAGTCTGTCAAAACATGTCAACATGAGATCTAGTTTCGAAGGTCTCGTCGTGATAGGTATTTTATGTGAAATCGACTTTTTGATTGGACCGACAATTTGAGCTATAAAACATTTTGAAGTTTTGAACAAGGAGAACTAGGATGACATGAAAAATTTCTTCTAATGTATGCACGTATCTGCTTGTGGATAAAAGGTTGGAGAAACTTTTTCATGCCCCGGTAATTTCTGTGTAAACAACATGATAACTTAGGCACCACAGATATGATAAATTGTGTAGAAACACGTGGTAACTTCTGACCCAAAAAAAAGTCGTCAAAACATATCAACATGGTATCTAGTTTCGAAGATCTCGTCGCTACGAATCTTTTACGTGAAAACAATTTTTTAATCGGAGCGACGGTTTGTGCTATAAAACATTTTGAATTTTCGCATTGGGAAGAATCTTTGATGACATCATCATTTTTGTTTTTTCTGCATGTATATGATTAGCAACTCTAATTAACTGCTAGTGGAGTGGACAAAAATAAGATGAAGATGCATGCACAAGCTAGAACGACGCAGCAGGACGAACGGGAGGATCGATCGAAGGTCGTCCGGATCTGTTGCTAACCACCAGTTAGCACTGTCCATAAGACAAATGAAGTGCCTGTTTTCGAGGCCAGACGTTCGAGATGCCCTAACCCCCCGAGCTAACATCTGAACATGTCTGTGTACCTACATAGTGTTTTGTTTTATTCGACATGGTATACTTACATACTGTAGTTGCGACACCTAGTAACCTACAGAAGCATATCCGTGACCAGGCCGGCCACCAGCTCGTCGATGAGCAAGCCAGCCACCACCACGCCGATCTGACGCTCCTCTTCCACCTCTCCGAGCCGTGCTGACCACCGTCGGCTCCGGTCCATCTCCGCAACAAGGCGCTCCCGGCCGCACAACACCTCCTTGAGACCCCACCGAGCCCCAGTGCCTTCGATCCAGTCCTCGGCCAGCCTCGCCGCGGCTTCGAAGTTTTTCAACGTGCCGTTCTTTCGCGTCTCGGCGAAGAAGTCGAGTAGGAGCCGCTCGGAGGCGCAGACCGCCGACACGGTGCCAACCAGGAGGTTGTGCTCGTCAGGGTCTTGGCATACGCCGACGCTCCGGCGACCCTCGGGACATGGCAGCGCCGTTGCTGCGCAGAAATACTCCGGCTGCTGTACCGGGACGCTGCCGAGGCCGTCGGAGTCCGAGGCGACGGCGAAGGTTTCGTCGAGGTCGACGGCTCCGACCTCCCCGACGCTCCCGAACCGTCGTCTGATCTTGTAGTGCATCTGTATATTTCTCCCTGCACAACGACAAAGGAATAGTAAGAGTTAGAACTAAGCAGTGACACTCAATGTCCTTGGTTCCATCAACGATAACCGTAAGCGCCAACCCATGGTCAAGCGAACCGGAAACAGTTCCAAGCCTTTTCCCCGACCGTCACCGGCCGTGTGGCCCCGTGCAGGATCTCTACTCGATCCGGGCATTTTGCTTTCTCCGGCACGATGGCCGCATGAGCAGTAGCGGTAGACTAGCCGCGAAGCGCGGCTTTTCTGGAACGCCCGTAACGTGTCGGATCCCGCATTTAGAAATCCATTTTTGTTGGGCATTTACAACAAATCTTACTCTGGTGAAGCTGCGCAAGGCTGTCGCTGAAGGAGGTCGAGCACGCGGCAGCGCCGCCGACCCTCCCTTCCTCCTCTTCCACGGCGTCGTCCTCGTAGTCGTCGTCGAACGGGAAGTCCATGACCGCCACTGGGCTGAGCTGCTCCTTGTCGTCCGCCTCCTTGGATCCGCTGTCCATCGCCTGCAACATCGCACTCCAGTTAGCATGCGTAACCACCGTCGATTAAAGTTGTCGCGCGCGCCCACGGCGAAGGCCGCGGCCGACGTCGGCGCAGGCCACAGGAGGGCCGGTTTACGGCTCACGGGAGCAGCCGGCTCCGGCTAGCCCGGCCGTTCTGCGCCGGTGGCGATCTTGACCCTTTCCCAACAGACAAACGCAGATGAAACAAACCAATTACTAGTACTCCACGCAGAGCAGAGAAAAGTCTCGTCGACCATAAACTAGCAGAGCAGATGCAGAACGCGCGGCGCCTTGCCGATAAACCATTATAGTAGTAGTATATTTAATTTGGCCATTGAAGCACGCATGGGAGTACTTGCTTGCATGTGGGCAGTGGCACATGCGGCGGTTGCGCACGAGGACATGGGCGGGGGTACGAGTAGTACGTGGTTGGTAGAGACGCATACACACGCGTGCGTGCAGCTAAATAATGCATCGCGGATAGGGCAGTGGGTGCGTGCCATCACTCGGTCGGTCGGAGCCGAAAGGCCCGATGGAGGCTACGGCGGCTAGCCACCTTGCTCGACGGAAGCGACAACACTGGGCTCGATCAATCGCTTCCCGACAAGCCGCACTAACTAGGCGCCTCGCCTCGGCCTAAACACATTTATGCTCGATCGGCGGCAACCACTGCCTCCCGGTGACCACCGGAGCTACCCCCATGTAGCCACGCACTGCACTGCACTGCAGCACGTCTCGCATGCAGCGGGAGTGAACAGGAACAACAGGCCGGAGCCGGACAGAGAGCTCTAGACACAGGCCTGTAGCAATTTGTACGTGCCGTTTCATGCAATTTTCACCAAGCTAGCGTAGCGGCAGTACGTTCAAATCCTTTTCCCGGAACCAACCTAATGGTAGTACTTATGGCCGAGGCTGATGCGGATTTCAGAGGCTATACTACTCGCTGAAAGAAACCTAACCGGTGAAAGATGTTTTGTCTTGAGAAAGGGACGCTGCCACCAGTACCACACCGGTTTTGCTACCAAAAGCTAGGCAATCGCAACTCCAAGGCACGCACAAATCTCATCGCAGCGACCATTTGCAAAGCAGTGCGTACATAGTTTTACTCATCAAATGTACTACGTACTTACGGTAATAATGACAAATAAAGAAGTGTAGTACTACGTTATGTACCACGATCCGCTTCTAAACTAAAGAATGCAGTCTGTGAAATGTCAAACATCCGAGGCCGTAAATCTAGGTGGCTAGGGTATAACAGTGGACTACTACTAGTACTACGTCAGTTCCTTTCCGTCGACGAGTATCGTCACGGTCGGGTCGGAGAAGCTACACGACTTTACTCTACGTACGTAGTAGTACTCTGTACAAATAGTGCGGTAGCACTGCCCAGGACCACGTACCGCTGCTGCCTACGGTATCAATGTCGTACCCTCGTAGCTTCCATTGGATGCTCGTACACATGCATGCACGAATCCAAGCGTAGCAATTAATGGCGGATACGGCCAACGTGCCTGCCTTGGTTAGGGATGGCAATGGGTACCCATTACCCGCGTACCCTGTGGGTAAAAACCCTATTAGGGTAAGGGTATGGGACAAAAAATTACCCATGGGTACTTAAATGGGAAAATATCATACCCATCGGGTAGAGAGGGTACGGGTATGGGATCGTATAACCCATGCCCGCGTAACCGTGTACCCATCTAAAATGTTGACATGTGGGTTTTCGTTAATATCCCAATGTATTCATTTCCCCTCCTAATCACGCTAGGTAAAAACTCTAATGTGTATTCAAATGATCTTTATAATTTATCATGATTTCCTGAACTTAAAGTGCATGCATATGTGTTGTTATTTATGACTATGTGTTGTTGTTTAACATTTTTATATTTCACTTTATAGGCAAGTACTTTTGTTTATGAGAATATGTTGTTGTACATTGTTGTTTAAGATTTATTTCTATTAATAATTTATGATAATATGTTACTTTTTACAACTATTTTCTACTCAATTGATGTGTTGTAAACGCGGGTATTTTTACCCGCGGGTACCGATATACCCTGTCGGGTGATGGGTATGGGAAAAAACTGTACCCTTGACGGGTATGGGTATGGGTGATGGGTAAACTCACGATGGACGGGTAAGGGTATGGGGTAGCTCCACCCGTACCCATACCCTGCGGATGCCATCCCTAGCCTTGGTTCGCCAAATGAATTACTCCACTACGTGTACGTGGGGCTCCCGTTTCATGGCAATCCAGAGCTTACGGAGTACTCCTACGTGAATAATGCAACGGACCAAATTAAAGCCGGTGGGGCGACGAGGCCGGCGCTCCTAACTGAATTAACGACCGCCATTAATCCTAGTTACTGCAAGAAAATGAGGTGATTAGGACGGTACCTCCTCCTTATCTTCTTCTCTCGTGCAGGCGGTGCTGGTGGCGGCGCCGGCGTGCAGGCTCTCCGTCGAGCTTGCAGAGAAGTCCGACTCGGATTTCCTCTCGGTCGACGACCCCGACTCCGACGACTCCGAGTCGGAGCTGCTGCTGCTGCTGACGGCGGGCACCGGTGCCGCCTTCTCCTCCTCCTCCTCCTCCCGGCGCCGCCAGCTGAAGCCGTCCCTGAGCCGGCGCGAGAGGGTCCTGATCGAGAGCAAGGGGTGGCGCAGGGAGGGCGATCGCCCGAGCCCGCGAGGCGCCTCGGCCGGCTCGTGGAGGGCGTTGTGGCGCGCCCGCAGCGGCGCCGCTGCCGGGACGCAGAGGTGGCGCGGGTAGCAGCGGAAGCCGGCGGCGCTGCACGAGTCGCAGTCCAGCTCCAGGAGATCCTTGAGCCTCAGCGGCCTACCCTCGACGCCGGCCACCGCCATTGCCGCGCCACTCGCTCCTCTCCGCGAGCTGACCACCGAGCAGAGTGAAGCGAGAGCAGAGCACAAAAGGCCACTGAGCTAGCTAGCTGGCCGTGTGTCCACTGTGCTCAGCCAGCGGCTGTTAAGTACCCCGCTGATCCGTACTTGCCTGGCCCCGTGCGCGCGCCCGGCTTGCGCGGTAGCTTCGGGCGTTCGTGCAGGCTGTGCACGAAAAGGAAAACGCTTGTTTTTATGCGGGGGTTGCGATGCGAGAGCAGGTGGCCGAGGAGGCGATGGAGAAGAGAAGACGGAACTGCGTGCAGCCGCTCGTGGGCGTGGGTTTAAGTAGAAGACGCACGGCGCGGGTCGGGTTCAGGTCAGAGACCGCTGTGGAGGCTTTGGTTACATGGCTCCAAGGGAAACTGACGTGCATTGGTGATTGTACTAATCACACTCGCACACCCACCAGGGACGGCTACGAGGCTAGTAGGAATTATGGCTTTGGTCCATGGCTAGCTAGCTACATGGGCGTACGTTGGTACGTGAAGCTGAGCGATCTGTGGCCGATCATCCACTTCTATAATTGGGGTTGGCTGCCCCGTGTCTTGTACTCGACGGCAACGGTGTGTAGCCAACAGAGCCCAACGAGTTCATGCACGGTTGATACATTCAGTCGTCCTGAGTTCGTTCGCAGGCTGAGGATTCCGGATCAGCGGTGATTTCAGCCCCGAAAAGCCGGCGACGTCTAAGGTTCTACGTGCAGAAATATCACTAGGCATGAGCGCAGAAGAGAGAAGAAAAACAGTATAGGCATTTGTCTGTTAGCCTGCCAGAGCCGGTCGATAGGTGTGTCTGTCATCTTAATGATGATAGTAGCTCGGCGTTTTTACGGCCGAGACCAGCAGGGAAGCTTCGGCGCGGTTTCCACGGCCGCTCTGGCGAATCGAATCACCGTCGATGGGCTCTCGAATCTCGATACCTCCCCAGTCAGTCCCCAGACAGGCCTCTTGTACGGGGTCAAGTAGGGTTGACCTGTACGCGTGGAGGATGGAATATATACTGCCTCGACTCTTTTAGTATAGCGAGATTCGCGCTCCAGCTGTGGTGCTCTTGGCCGGCCTGCTCGACGCTGCCAGTGCCACGGGGACGGGGGGACAGCGCTCCACGCCTGTCTCCTCCGTGGTTTCCTCCGACTGGGCAACATCTCCGGCCGTCACAATCTTTACCCGACGAGGCGAGTTCACGGCCCTAAGGCCAACTCCACCGCGCGATTCTAAATGGACATCTGAATTAGCCGGATTTTGTTTTTTTGAAGCGCCGATGGTTTTGGCCGTGTCCGGCTTTGTCAGATAAGTTGTGCGTGCGCCCACCGCGAGGCCGCACCCTAAATCGTGTCCGGATGAACGTGAGTAAAAAAAATATAAAAACTAAAATGAAATAACTAAAAAAGTAAATAAACGCATTTAAAAAAAACATAAAACATATATAGGGGTCGGCCACAAAACGGCCCAGTTTCCACGGCCACTTAAAAGGCCCAGTTTCATAATTAACATATAAAAACAAAATAAAAAAATGCCTCCCGCGCACTCCTGCCGCGCCCGTCGGTGCCGTGGCCGTCGCCGTCTTCACTGGCCGCCGGTGTCGTCGTCATCGCTGACGAGGTCGATGTAGGCCGGCGGCGTCCACAGATGGGCCGGCGGTGCGTCTTAGACGGGGGCGGGCTGGACGGCCGAAGGTGCCTGCACCACCTCCTCCCGTGGTGACGCCTCCCGCTCCGATGACCGCGGCGGAGTGGGGCACCAGTTCATGCCCACGCCCGCGGCCATCTTCGGAGTAGTGCAGGACCTGCCCCACCCCTGGCCCAGCAACTGCTGGAACGCGGCCGGCGGGTCCTCCTTCATGGCCTCCTCCGTGACGGCCGCCATCTGCAGCTCCGGAAAGGCGACGTCCCCGACGGCAGAGAGGGCCATGGTCTCCTCCAGGTCGTCCCACTGTCGCTCGTCGTGCGTGTTCATGGAGTCGTCCATGACAAGCTGCAGGAGACGGGCCTCCTCCTCCGCTGTCATGCGAGAAGGGGGAGGTGGCGACGAAGACGGGGAAGGGGACGGCGTGGGCGTGACGCCGCGCACCCGTCTACGCCAGCGCTCCTGGGGAGCAGGCGCTGCGCGCTCCTGTCGTGGCCGCCGCGGCCCCGTCGAGGTGCCGGCGAAGAACAACGCGCGCCTGGTGTCGTGCTCGTCACGAAATCAGGTGTCCCAGAGCCCGGAGTCGGGGGCGTACCTGGGGTCGTAGAAGAGGTCGTCGGGAAGGAGGCGGCGGCGGCGCTCGATCCCCTTGTCGCGTGCACGGCCGCTCGTTGGGACCGGCGGGATCGGGACCCGGTCGGCGGAGAGATGCCAGTTATTGAGGAGATGGACGTTGCTCCAGGGGAGCGGCGTCCTCGTCTCCCAATAACGGCGGCACGCCGACGCGCGGATGTAATGTCGGTCGCGCTCGCCGGCGGACGTGGGCGCGATGGAGAAGGCGGGCGGCGCGGAGGCCCGGCGTGGTGGCGATGGCGACGCAGGCTCGTGGCGGCGTCCCGACGAGGAACCAGCCTCGCGGTCGTGCTTGCCTTTGCAGCCGTAGTTCCAGAGGCCCATGGCTGCGGGCGGCCGGCCGGCGAGATGTTGGCTAGGGTTTCGGACTGGGGTTGTCGGGTTTCGAGAAGGCCGCGGGATGGCGTGGGGCAGCGTAGACGACGACTCGTTCATGCTTCCCACTTAAAGAAGGACGGCGACCGTTCGACGTGCGGATGACAGGTGGGGCCGCCCGCTCGTGTGCATTGATGTTGGCGGGCGGGAGGTAGGTGGTCGCCCCGTCACGCGGCAAGACGCGGACGAGCGGCGCGTCCGTTTGGTGTCCGCGGCGATCCAAATCCGACGCAAAGATGCGCTTGAAATGGGTCGGCCCGGACACACAACGGACAAGATGAGTCCGGACCGTTCCGCGCTGGGCCGTTTTCTTTGTCCGTTTTATTCTAAACGAACGAGGCCGGACAGGATAGGATTGCGCGATGGAGTTGGCCTAACCGGGAGTATGCCTACTCTAGATGCCAGCCGTTTCAGTTTCGGAAACTCGAACCGGATCGGCGGGCACCGAACGATCGATCAGTGAGCCCGTGCTTTGGCTCGCATGAGCATGGGCAACAGCGCCGGCGCAGAGCCATGCATGCCTGCCTGCCTGCGTGTCGCCACTACCCCTTGCCTGCTCCACGACAGACGCACGGCTCGGCGATGTGACTGTACGGCAGCAGTACAAGTGACCTTGCAGGCAGCACGGGAAATTTTCATTTCAACGGCTTTTGGGAGCTTAACTAGCCGTCCGTCCGTGCGATCTGTGAAACAGTGGTACCTGTAATATTGCGAGATCAGCGTCGTGACTGCGTACAGCTGTAGCAAGTTAAATTACATGTGCGGGTGTGCGGGTGTGCTCAGTGTATATTCAGCTTCGCCGCGGCTTCGGGTGGTTTTGGACAGGGCGACGAGGCCCTTGGATCGATGTCATCTAGTGCAGCTGTAAGTCACCGCGTTGGTAATAGAATCTGGAGTAGGCATAGGTATGCTCTTCTTCCTGGGGCTCTTGTTTAGATTAGCGTTGTACCCTGCCCACGATGATGCGGTGATTACAATAACGTTGATTTGGTGAAAGATGCCTCTTCTTCTCCCACTCAACTTGGTTGGGCAACGCATGGTCAAAATCTCGAAGCGAAAAAACGGATTTAGGGTCAGTTTGGTTGCCTTCCTCGTGATTTCGTGCCTGGCCACAAGTGTGCCTGAAACCTGCCTGAGACATGTTTGGATAATGTCCTGAGCGTTTAACACAATGCCTAGCCTAAAAAAGTTGTCGTGGTCATTAGCCTGGGCAAATACATGCATCACCATTAGCTTGGTGCCAGGCGAACGATTCCGAATGCCTGGTGCGTGCCTGGTTACATATTAGTGTTAAAATATTCTGCCGGTACTATGGGCTCCACAACCGTACATACTTTTGACCCTATAAAATATTCCCTAATGCTTTTTCAGGTCAGGGTATCATCCAAACGTCCTCCTCTCAGGCCAGCCTGCCCAGGCATAGAACACATATGCTCTCAGGCCTGTTTCAGGCACTGACTTTTTTCAAGCACGGTGGCCAGGACACAAACCAAACAAGCTCTTACTTCCGGCCACTGGAACTTTTTATTTCTACCCAAGCTTAAATTCATCATTTTTACTTGTATCTGTAATAACAGTCCATGCGTCGCAAGGGGATATGAATATGGAAGCGTTGAACTCATCTAGCCGAGACATAACTATGTCTCATTCACCTCACATCGTCAATGTGTTGATCGTGTATTTGTACCGCATTTTGTCTCTTCTTTTGTTTTGTCTGTTTCCTTTTCTTTTTGTGCATTATTATGGTGTATGATAAAATCGGATCAGCTTATCTCCAAGAGATCCTAAATAGTGCTTCATGCGCCCCCAAGCACACTGGCGCACACGCGACACCAGGTAACACCATGGCCCAACACTGCAGTGCTCGCACAAGCTCACTCACTCGCCTGCTTTTTTTCATTCATTCTTTTTTTTCCTTGGTTTCCTCTTATGCTGATGTACTACTGTCCACAAAAAATAGGCTGCCGGTTTTTCAATAAAGAAATACTCACATATTATTAAAAATTACAAATTCAAGAAATTTTTACAAAACTGAATTTTTTATAGATTTGAAAAAAATGTTCACAGATTTTTAAAAAAATCCTGAATTTTAGTACAGTTGAATTTTTTGTTTTTTTCATTAAATTTAGAAAAGATCAAGAATTTTATTTTCCCCCAATTTGAAAAGAAAAGATGACAAATTTGAAAAAAGTTAAAAAGGTTGAAAAATTTCACGAATTTGAAAAAAGTTCATGAATTTAGCAAAAATATGATGAATTTGAAAAAATCACAAATTTCTAAAAAGTTCATTATTTTTTTAAAAATGTGCACAAATTTTAGAAAAAGGTTCATGAGTTTGAAAAAATCACATATTTTAAAAAATAATTCATGAAATTTGAAAAATATCACAACATTGAGACCCAAAAGTTCACATATTTGAGTTAAGAAGTTCACGAATTTGAAAAAAGTTTGCAAATTTAAGAAATATTGTTCACGAATTTCAAAAGAGAAAATTCATGAAATTTACAATTGAAAAAGGAAAAGTAAAAGAAAAAGCCCGGCCTAAAACCATAGAGAAAAAAAAAGAAAAACAGCGAGAAAGAGAAACCAAAAGAACAAAACTATTGCTACTATGCTAAATGGGCCGGCCCATTCTGATCGGGGAGCGGGGTGCGCCGCTTACTGAATACACTCTATTTGATCTCCCTGCACGTACGTTATGTCTTGTAGGCTTGTCCTATGGTTGGATGTTTAAAAGAACAGCGGTATCTCCAGTCTACCAAGGTTCAAGTCCTAGACTTGACATTGACACCCGCATTATTCCTTGATTTATTTCAGGCTTCCGACGATGTTTGTTTAGTGGGAGGAAATATTCCCGTCGACTAAGAGGCGTGTGACAACTATGTAAAATTTCAAAATGGTAGACGGGCTCATTCTCTTAAAGATGCTCATAGGGATAGGATATGCGTGTATTATTAGGGTGTGTGTATATTCGTGTATGTGAGTAATTTTGATTATACAATGTTAAAAAAAGACTTGTCCTGACTTGGCCCGCTGGAACGTATAGGATTGGGTCGGCTCCAGTACCCCACCGTACAAGCAAAAACCAGGGCATAATGACCCTCCCGTTTCTTTCCTTTTCCAATTTTTTATTTAATTTATTTCTTTTTGGAAAACTAAAGTAGAAAACGATAAAAAAATGAACATAAAATGCAAGGCGACCCAGTTGCAGTCTTGTTGTACCCCTTCAAGTTGCACTGCCTGAGTGGCAGCTGGTGCGGTGCTAGGTAGATGAGCACCCTTTCAGCTGGTTGTGTTCTAATTGATAGCACACATGCATATATAGCTTAGAATTTTTTGAATGAATGACAACCAAGTCTTAGAGCTGAAAGTATAAACCAAGGAAAGTAGTAGTGCTGCTTACAAGATGCATTCCACATACTGTGGCTTGTCCAAAAGGGTATCAAGATCGACAAATAAACATGCAATCTTAGCACTGTATCTAGCACATCTCATGTCATTGTACTGCAGCCACGAGGACCTGCCACTATAGAGCAACTGCTCATCTGCCCATCATCGAGGTTCTCCAGGCCGTGCTCGTTTTGCTCGCCATCGTAGTAGTCCTCGATGCAGTCCACATCCCTCTCACGGGCATCGCAGAAGTAGTGACCATTGCCGTAGAGGATAAACTGGAGCAAGTGTGCGCTGGGGAATTCTAGTTCGCCATAGTGCAAACCAATCGTTGCGCCTGACACCGAGGCCGGCATGGTTGTGGCGCAACGTCTTGAGCAGGCGGAGTTTGTGTGCCGCGCTCCCCTTGCGTGCCCAGAGCACCACCAGCCGCAGCAGCCGCAACATCGATCAACAGCCAAAATAGTATGTCAGAAGGAAGGCAGCGTTGACATTGTTCAGATAATGCACACAAAACTGACTCAATTATGGAGCAGTAAACACACCAGTAGCAGCGTAATTTGGCGGTTTATGATCTACCAAGTATAGAAAAAATATATTTCAATACTATAAGCATGCATTCATTCGAAAAAAAAGATTATTTGGAACTAAAAGGAACAGAAAGGTGGGCATGCTTCTAGTCCGTCGGTTAGCAATCTGAACAATCATGAAATTGAGGAGATGTGGAGAGGTGAATGAACTAAACTCCACTTGATGCACTGTAAAAAAAGCATCTGAGCAAAAAGGCACTTGCAGAGACACAGAAAACAGCCTACAGAAGAATTACAACAGAGAAACATAAAACTTATGCTGATTCAGTAATTAAAAAATTTGGCGGACCATAGTAATAATTCAAGAAACTATACTACTTCCATCGTCTGCTTGTCCTATGATAAATTAATAGATTTGTAGAACATGAAGGTACATCCAGGTATAAGCTGATGGCCGGATGGATTAAAAAATCCTCAGTGAAACATTTAAGTGTCCGAACAACGGAGGTAACAAACCTAACGGAACTATAAGTGATAATTCTTCAGTTGTCTACGGCACCACATATTTATTTTAAGAAGGGCACTGTCCACCAAATTAACAAGACACCTCGTTCTTTGTATATGCGTTAGCATCACATACCTTCTTGAGCATCACACATCTTGGGTTGGCATAGCTAGAGAAATCCTCTTCTCCTGAACATCGCCGAAATCTCTCTCAACTTCTCTCCTCTAATCTCCCTGATTCATCCCGGTAGCATCAGTTAGCCCAACACTTCCTTTCCTACCTCTCTCTTCTTCACACAGCCACCCCAACCATAGTTGCTCGACCTGACACCCAGCGTCTCCCTTCACCTGTACCTCGGGCTCCTCTGCATCTCGCCACCCTAGCCAAACAACATTTCAAAAAATGTTGTTTGGGTTAGAAAAATGTAATGATATGGCAAAAATGATTCAATAATGATTGTAAGCAGTGCCTTATATCCTCATTGGATAAGATAAGCATTACAGTACTATATACCATTCTTATTAAACATTGCAGGAGAGAGAGCCCAAATAACGTAATCTGTATTAAACAGATATAGGTACAAAATTGATCTCTGCAAATATCATATCATATCATTTCCAAGAAAAAAAAAACAGAGGTGATTTTTAAGAGAATTTACCTTAAGGTTGATTAATGAAAACACGACAAGAGAAGAGCTAAAGATTAATTTAATTAACCTCTATGTCAGCTCCAAGCAATCATGTTATATGGGTTAGCCCGTTTGTCGCACTGATACCTGAAGTTCTCATAGAAAGTCTGCAAAGGTGAAAGATTGGATGATTACGAAGTTGCAATGGTTTGAACATTAAGAGTTTTAAAACAAGAGAAAAGGAGGAAAGGGAAGTCACCTGATTGTTGCTCTTTAGGTAGAAATGAAAGACAAAAAGACCATGGTGCACTAATGTGAAAACAAATACTGATGTAAATGAGCAAGGCTCGAAAGTGGCTTGCTGACATATCTGAAGTCTGAACACAAAGATGATGCAACATATATCATAATTATATGTAACCGAAAATCAGAAATTCGGTAGTATCTGAAACTAAATTTAAAATAATATCAACCAAACCAGTTCATTAAGGTTCGATACATATATACAATCATAGACTCAATACTTATGTTATGACACATTTATTTTGAAATTTACTTATAATAAAACTGAAAAGCATATTAATTGCTGCTGCTACATGATTCCCTTTTGAACTGGAACAGGGGCCTATTATTCGAAAATAAATCAACAGTCTAAATAAGGGAAGCCATCGAGTATTGAGAGGTACTCACCATACCATAGTTTACTTATTATAAAGCTGAACATCGATTAAGTGAAGAGAAAGACTAAACAGATGATTCACGAACAATGACAAACTACCTGCTCACTTAATAGCAACCTGTGAAAAAAAGCACATGTCAGCACAAAGAGGAGCAGCAGCACATCCTAAGCAAAAATTAACATCCAGCGCAATCAAAATCACCTCCATGACAGCCATCAGGAGACGGAGCAAAGAGGAAGATGAACTAAGAGTGACCTCCATCCTTGGCTGCCTCCCAGACGACGACGTCGGTTCCTGCTCCCTGCAATGCGCAGAATTCAGCAAGACGCCGAAAGCAATCAACAGACGGCTAAAATCACATTTTACCTGATTCCAACATACATAAAAAAACGTACAATTTCTTTTAGCAATTCATCAAACGATTGGTGTGCACAACCACAACTGGACACATAGAATCTCTGAAGATGTCAAGACAGTCAGCTTCTGCCACCTAAGAGGGATTTCACCGCCCCGAGCTCGAGCTTACGTGAGAGAGGGAGGTAGGCAGTGGGGAGTGGGGTAGAGGTGCAGATTAAAACATGAAGGAAAGGAAGTGGAGACGATGGCTCATATATACGGCTTGCCGTCGCCGGAATCATGGCCGGACGCCGCATGGTCCCCATAGCCCCCGCCGGGGCACCCAACGTCATGGTGGCTATCCGAGCCTGGGACTCCATATCGGCGTTGTCGCACGCGCGGACGGGAGGGCTGGCCCCACGAGACAGAGATGCGCCGCCGCTGCTCTTCCTTTTCTTGCCGCTCCCATCACCGTCACGCGCTGCAACCTGCAAGAGCCTTGTTTGTCCCGCGGCGCCTCCCCCGTGTGTGCTGAGACAAGGCCGGGAAGGAATGGGAAGGGGTTGAGGGATCAGACTCACCTCAGATCCTGGCATCCATCCCTGTGGCGGCGCCTGTAGCAGATCACAAATCGAAACCGTCGCCGCCGCCTTCTCCTCCCACCCAATCTTCCCTCGAGAAGTCGAGATACATGGCTGGTGGCGTGCTTGCAGCCGTGTCCCCTCCTGCTTCTCCTACGCCCCACCTTCTCCTTCTCTTGCGCCCTACCTTCCTAGCCGCTGACCGCTGCTCTGCTGCCTCCTCCCGATGGCCAGGAATGGGAATGACCAGAGGTTGCGTGTTGAGGTAGCGTGTTTTGGAAGAGGAAGGGGGAAAGGTTGGGGGCTCGAGGCGACTTCCTGTCTCTGTCTCTCCCTTTCTTCTCGATAAAGCAAATGAGAAGTGCCGACCGTCGCTTTAATTGGCCATCGCAAACAGTCACGCCCTACCGACGTGGAACCGCGAGGCTCTGCCCTTGATGCACACCTTATTGTTTTGGATTATAGGTATATTTTGTGTCGTTGCAATATAGCAATAGTCATGCAACTGGCTGACATCTCTCCACCCGTTGTAGTCACATGTGTACCCCTATAATTGCAATCTGGTTATAACACTTTGTTCGGGGGATGAATCCTGGCAGGCAACGGAATCCAGATCCTTTTCAAAAACAACGGGGCATGCATCGCCCCTCAATCCGGCCCAACCTCGGCCGAGTCGCTCGACTCGGCCAGGTCACTCGACACGGCCAAGCAGGCCGACCCGGACAGACTCCTCGACTCGGCCCCAACAACCAAGATCAAGACTTCTCCAGCAAGCCAACACTGCCCTTGGCGTGTTCTTCAAACCCGGCCAAGGGTCAGCGGCTGTCACATCCTAGCCGTATGATGAGGCGAGTCTCCGCCAACTAATGATCAAAGCAACAGTACCCCGCCCATGCTTCTGGTCAGCCGGACGGGGCAACAGTGCCCTTCGCCTACCCGCTGACCAGGGTCGGCATGGCTACAGTGCCCTACGCGTACCCGCTGACTAGGCCTGGCGTGGCAACAGTGCCCCGACGTGACCTATGACGCCAACAAGCGGCGACCTGACGGAGCGCCACTGTAGCCGACTCAACCCGGCCATGCCCTCACGATCAACAAGACAGCACACAATGCCCCCTAGGCGCATGGGTCCGCGCCCAGAGAACCCGGCGAGCCCTGGTACCCGGCGGGTCCCAGCACCGGGTTCCCGGACACTGACAACCCGGCCCTACGGCCTTGTAATATTACCCTTGTACCCCTGGGGGGGTTGACCTATAAACCCCCCCAGGAGCCCCCATGCATACGGACAACTCACTTCATTCACACAATCGATCACACACACACACCCAACAAAGCAACACCCGAGGAGAGGGAGCAGCCTAAGACTTGGCCAGACCTCCTTCTTCCTCCATACAGCTTTAGGAGCAACTTTGTATTGTTACATATAAACCACACTCGGCAGGACTAGGGGTGTTATCTCTCCGGAGAGCCCCGAACCTGGGTATGTCTTGCATCCCGCGCTCGCTCATGCCGACCTCGCCTCTGAAACCCACCAGTGCCCTCGAGCCTCCTCCTATCTTTAGCCATCCCTTGGCATCTACCGCACGCCCACCATGATAGTTGACGCCCACCGTGGGGCAGCTCGAGGTCCTGGCCGGGAGAATGCTTCGGACGGGGATCCTCTCCGAGCCCGTCACGCCGGCGGACGACGTCATTGATGCGCTCGCCGCCTCCTCCGCCACGCTGCGCATCTTCGACGCGCCTACGGACGACGAGTACCCCCGCGAGGTACTTAGCTTTTCCGACTTCCCGCTCTCCATCAACGACGACACTCCCACCGGCGCGATGGACCTCTGCGTGGAGGTTTTCGTCACCGACATTGATGCCTCCTCATCGTCGAGCGCGGCAAGGAAGGCCGCCGAAGCTAAGGCCGCGGCGATAGGGCCGGCTCGCCCAACCCGTTGCGCGCCACGATTATTGACTCTAGTGCAAGTGGGAGACTGAAGGAAATATGCCCTAGAGGCAATAATAAAGTTGTTATTTATATTTCCTTATATCATGATAAATGTTTATTATTCATGCTAGAATTGTATTAACCAAAAACTTAATACATGTGTGAATACATAGAAAAACAGATTGTCACTAGTATGCCTCTACTTGACTAGCTCGTTGAATCAATGATGGTTATGTTTCCTAACCATAGACATGAGTTGTCATTTGATTAACGGGATCACATCATTAGAAAATGATGTGATTGACTTGACCCATCCGTTAGCTTAGCACGACGATCATTTAGTTTGTTGCTATTGCTTTCTTCATGACTTATACATGTTCCTATGAGATTATGCAACTCCCGAATATCGGAGGAACACTTTGTGTGCTACCAAATGTCACAACGTAAGTGAGTGATTATAAAGGTGCTCTACAGGTGTCTCTGATGGTACTTGTTGAGTTGGCATTGATCAAGATTAGGATTTGTCACTCCGATTGTCAGAGAGGTATCTCTGGGCCCTCTCGGTAATGCACATCACTTTAAGCCTTGCAAGAAATGCAACTAATGAGTTAGTTGCAGGATGATGTATTACGGGACGAGTAAAGAGACTTGCCGGTAACGAGATTGAACTAGGTATTGAGATACCGATGATCGAATCTCGGGCAAGTAACATACCGATGACAAAGGGAACAACGTATGTTGTTATGCGGTTTGATCGATAAAGATCTTCGTAGAATATGTAGGAGCCAATATGAGCATCCAGGTTCCGCTATTGGTTATTGACCGGAGACGAGTCTTGGTCATGTCTACATAGTTCTCGAACTCGTAGGGTCCGCACGCTTTACGTTCAGTGACGATCGGTAATATGAGTTTATGTGTTTTGATGTACCGAAGGTAGTTCAGAGTCCCAGATGAGATCGAGGACATGACGAGGAGTCTCAAAATGGTCGAGACGTAAAGATCGATATATTGGACGACTATATTCGGGCATCAGAAAGGTTCCGAGTGATTCGGGTATTTTTCGGAGTACCAGAGAGTTACGGGAATTCGCCGGGGAGTATATGGGCCTTATTAGGCTTTAGGGGAAATAGAGAGAGGAGGCTGAGCCCCCCCAATGCCTAGTTCGAATTTGACTAGGGGGAGGGGCGGCTCCCCGTCCTTCCTTCTCTTCTCTTTTCCCTTTCCTTCTCTCCTACTCCTACTCACTACAAAAAAAAGACACATCCGTGACATTTTGGGCCGAACAATTTTTTTCTGTCATACATATGACACTTCTATGACGATAATTGTGACAAAACCCGGTATCATCATAGATGTGGTGGGCTCCTACTTCTATGACAAAAAATCATGACAGAAAATGAGCTTTTCGTCCTGGGCGGGCTGGAGACGCAGCTGCATGACATTCTTTGGGCCGTCCATGACGGAAAAAACCGTGGTAGAAGCGAGGGCGAGGAAAATTTCGGGGAGTTCCCGGTTACGGTGGGAGGTCGGGGGCCGAGAGATGCGCATTTCTCTCATACACGTATGCGCATGTGTGCGAGGCGTTGGCTCTAACTGAACCCGAGCGGGGCGTTGGGCTCTAACTGAACCCGATCGATTGCACTGCAGGCTACGCATTACTGAACCCGAGCGATCGATCGATGGCTGTTAACTGAACCCGATCGAGTGATTCCTTCGCTACTATTGCTAACTGAAG